CTTCCATCTGCCTCGTAAGTACCTGCACAGATCAGCCTTCTCCAAGCTTAGACCTTTTTGCATAAAAGAAGATTTTTCAACAGGTTTTGTAGGGGATGCTTTGGTTCGGGATCTCAATCTCATATATGGACAAGGGCGGTCTAAGTGAAATCTAATCAACTTCATTCAATAGTTGTTCTGACTTATTTTCACAGTAAGCATTAGGCCAGGTCTTCAGCAGGGAAGGGGTCCCAGATGGCATTGGTGCAGATGCCTTCTAGTTAAAGAGTTGTCAACACTTCTTCAACCACAGATTGCAAGCTCGCCAGCTTGAGAGGTTGGGCCGCTGACATACGTGAGTGTAGTGTGTCGGTGGGGACTCTGAAAATGGACAGCGCATCCTGCCCTGCAGCCATGGTGCCTGTGGCCTCAGTGCTGTTAGGGCTCTTTATTTTCAAGAGAAACCCCAAGTCAGTCTTGTTAAGAAATCTTCAGGCCCTTAAAGGTTTGCAACTTAACAACTTAAATATTATTTAGAACCATCGAACCATTTCTGCATGTGAGTGAGTGCCTTCCCTTAGGCCTTCCAGTAAGAAATCTGTTTGCTGGCCTGAGGCAGGTGTAGCTGTGATGAATCAGCTGGAAAGAAAACATCAGGGCTGGCCATATTCAGGTAGGTAGATACCTGGGCAAGTCACCCTTTACCTTGGGAATGAAGCTGGGAAGGTCTAGAGCCTTCTGGTCTATAACAAATGGGGGATAATATTCCTTTGTCTTTCCACTTTTAAGGAGAAAAAAAATGATCCCAATAATAATCACACTAATCAAGTATAGTAGTGGGGGGGGCGGCGGCAGAAAAAACTCAAAACAAAACAGCCTCAGAGAGAAGACATGGCAGGTAGCAATGCCTTTGTAGTTTGGTTCTAAAGAAAAACTCAGGCCCCTTAAGACTTCCATAAACACTGAGCTGTGGCACCGGGGAGAACAAAAGGGTCCATCCTAATTCATTTTGGAAAATTAAAAAGCTTCTTTGGATCACACAGCAGCATAGCTGGCCTGTGGTGAGAGCAAATAGGTTCTTCCGGTTGCTAAGAGACCCATCATTTAATCTCCTTCCCCTGATCAACAAGGGGGGCTCAGCAGAATGAAAGAGATGTTGATAAGGCTTTGAAAACAATGCCAAATTCAACACTGAAAAAATTCTCACCTTTCAGATAGGAAGTCCCATGGGTAGAGTCTCCCACCCACACCCAGCCCTGCTTTTTTTCTAGACTGCAGCTGGGAAATGTAAACATTACTCTTTCCTTTCTCTCGCTCCTTTCGGGCCTCCATGTCAAACACGGCATACCTCAGGAACCTGATTGTCCACTGGGAGAATGGTTATGTTGAAGCAGATTCCATGCACGGTGCCTCCATGCTGGTTACTGACAGACACCGTGAACTGCACATGTCGAGGACTGGGACCTATATCTTGCATGGGTGGCATGTAGGCCACTTTCATATGGTTCACAGCATGCTGTAAAGTAAATTGAGATGGACATATGTGTTGGTTTGCAGAGACCGGAATCCTTTAGCAACTTTAAGTCTAAGACCACTGCAGCGTTAATTGATAGGGAGCACAGTAAGTATTCCCATGGATGGAAAGATTCCCAAGGCTCTCCTTGGTAAACCACATTGCCTAAACATAAGAGGAAAACTGATGAAGTCAGGCAGTATGTCAAATGATGGGGTCCAACCAATTCTGCAAAAGGCAGACTCAGACTTCCCTCAGTCCCTCCCTGAAGTCACTGTACTAATGCAAGCTGGGTAAGCCTGCAAGGCCTCTGTTTCCTTATCAGTAAAGTTATTAAAACAGTAGCACTTAGCACATTACAACTTCTAACTATTAAGAAATCAGACATAATTAGCCCCAAACCACAGATGTCTGATGCCTGAGCTCTCATAAACCACACCCCCCATGAGGTCTTCAGAGGAGAGTTCACAAGAGTAAGCAGAGGGATACAGAAGGTTTTGGGAGAGTACTAAGTATTATTGGATGAACTGCAAGCCCATAAAATGACATACTAAAGTTCATTGAAACTGTAGAATGTGCATTTATTTAGAAATAGGACCACTGCAGATGTATGTAGTAGAAATACTTGAGTAGCATAGGTCCTCAATCCAATAGAACTGGTCTCCTTGTAACAGGAAGAGACAGATGGGGGCAGGCATGACTGACAGAAGTCAAAGCTTGCATCTGCAAGCCAGGGAACATCAAAGGCTGTTAACCAAGCACTCGCTGCTAACATGCAGGGAGGAAGGGTTGTCTACAGGGTTCAGAAGATCATAACCTGCCAATGCCATGTTTTCAACACCTCTAGCTTCAGGAAGTACAGAAAAAAAAAAAACGCCTTTTGTTTTGAACTACAAATGTGTGGTAGTTTGCTATGGTAATCGTGAGAAACTAAAATAGAAGAATGAGTGATCCATATTTGGTGGAATAAAAACATAGGCATGGGGCCTGAAATCAGTGTCCTGCTATGGGCAAAATGATGCCAAAGGCTGTGTGGCTTTATAACAAGGTTTGAAATTGAATCAGGTTTGATGAAGGCTTTTCAAGCAGATTCACACGCTTACCAGAAGCAAACACGCAAGCACAAGGATAAAGACATAAGGCACTGCAGCAGAAGTGACTGGCTAGCCTCTCAGACACAACACTGGGCATACCACACCTCAGGAGATGCATTAGACATTGTGTTAGCCAACGTTTTTACAAATTCTCATACCTGAGTAAATGATCTCAGCCCCAGGGCTGTAGGATTTTTGATTAGCTTTGGTATGCTGTCCACCATAAATAACTTCCCAGCATCCAAGTGTCTAGGAGAAATATAGACCACATCAGCTTATTTTCCAGCTAAGAAAAATTAAAGCAAATCACTCACAATTGTGATCACAGAATAGTGATCTGTGTTATCTGAAGGGCCAGGCCATATCAAGCTCCCACGACCAGGACCAGAGATAGTTAATAATCCAAATGACCCCTGTGCTATCTATATGACCAGAACCAGGCCAGCTCCTTCCCTAGGCCCTTAAGTTAATACAGGCAGCCTATCTCCAGAACTCATCTTCTTGGAAGAGACGACATGTTGAGTTCCAATGTAATTATGCCGTTTAGTGCACC